ACTACTGCCGCCAAGGGATCTGCCCACTTTAGACATAATCTCCACACTATTGCCGCCGATGTTCGAATCTTGGTCTCTTGACTCTCTTCTTCCAAATACTATCTACCAAATCATTGAGCTAAGCCTGTCTGGGCTTATTTATTTATTTATTGAAAGGCAAGTAGGTTAATTTTTCGTGAGTAATATTCTCATCATGTTCCTCGTTAAATAAAAGAGAAAGAAAAGGAGTAAAAAAAAGCCCGCTTATGATCAACAATGGTTTGTTGTTGCATCAAAGAACGAGTAAAATTGGAGTACATGAAGATGGTGAAATGTTACTCTTTTTATTTACGGCAACTTTTTTCTTTAGTTTTTTTTTTTTTTTTTTTTTTTGAGTGATATATGGATCACTGGATGATCACAATTTTGATTATTGTCAACACTTTCTCTATCGGATCCTTATATAGAGGGTCTTTTTAGTATGATTTACCTTTGTGTGTAAGCTATTACAAAAGAGCGAGACTTACCTAGTATACATTCTCGGTAAGGGATGCAGATTTCTCTTGTCATAAAAAAAAAAAAAAACTTTTATTTTACATAAGATGGATTGTAGATTGCACTTGTGACATTTTATCTTAAAATTACATGTTAATACCATAATCCTAGTTTGGAGTTACTAAATATGACAAACTTTAAAATGATATTGTAATCTTAGCCAAAATGAGAACTTATCAATTTAGTAAAATATTTCTTACATTGTAATAATAAATAAATGTCAGGATAATGGAATTTTCCAATTTGGGACCTTCCAATAGGGTCTTAAAATAGGGAATTTTTTAATTTTTTTTTAAATAAAGGTAACAATGAAGATTGAAGAGTCATCCAAATGAAATTTGATAGCAACTTATAGCAAGGTCATCAGAAATTTTTGTAGGGCAATCTCAACCAATTAAGTTAGTTATTAACTTGATAATTATAAAATTACAAGTTTGATTATCAACAAAAGTGGTATATTGGCCTTTTTGGTATGAACCGATTACTTGCATGTTTAGTAAAAACGTGCTCTTCACACGATTGTTGGTTGTGTCAGGGTGGTTACCAACTGACAAGCACTTTGAGTTTTTATTGTTTTTAATTTTTATTTATTTATTATTCACGAGGCGATAAATTAAATCTATAAAAAAAACTTGCAGAAATTTTCAAATCATTGAAGTTGCTCTGATTTAGTTAAAACTTTATTCTTTTTCTTTTCTTTTTTATTTTTTGAAAGATTTAGTCAAAACTTTCTAAATCGAGTAAAATGCATTGGAAGAGTTCATAAAAAAGAATACAATATATTGATTTTGAATTGATCATAGCGTGATGTAATTATTGAATATAAAATTATAAATTAAAAAAGGAATTTTTCAATTAAAATTCACACCTTTTTTTGTTTTTATATATATATATATATATATATATATATATATATATATATATATATATATATATTATATGAGTTAATACCCAAAATCGTCCTCAACTATAGTGGTTTTTCTCAATTTCGTCCTAAACGACTTTGGTGACCTAATATCGTCCCAGACTTTTGTGTTTCGCTCAATTTAGTCCTCCATTTGTTATTCCGTCAAATTGGTGTTAAATTAAGGGACAATTCAGTAATGTCAATATTGATCTCTCTTTACTTTCAACTTGTGAAGTGCGAAATTCCTCTTTCTTGTACGAATTACACCCAGATTTACTCCCGGACCTGCAAATCAAATTTTATATTCGCAGTTTTAGGAGTAATTCTGGAGTAATTCGTAAAACAAAAAGGGATTTCGCAGTTCACATGTCTATGAGTAAAGAGATGTCAATATTAAAATTACTGAATTGTCTATTTATTTAACACCAAATTGACAGAATAACAAATGAGGGACTAAATTGAGCAAAAACACAAAAATCTGGGACTAAATTGAGCGAAACACAAAAGTCTGGGACGATATTAGGTCACCAAAGTCGTTTAGGACGAAATTGAGAAAAACCACTATAGTCGAGGACGATTTTGAGTATTAACTATATAAGAAAAATGGTCAAATAGGCCCTCTAACTTTAGCTTAAAAGTCAATTAGACCTCTAAACTTTTTAAAGGTGCAATTACACCCATTAACAATTCATTTAGGTGCAGTGAAGCCCAAAAATAAGTTAATGACCTGCTATCACAGGTCATTAGGGTTCAGGCCACCTTCCGGCGAATTTTCTGACAAAAAAAATGTGACCAGCAATCGACCCAGATTTGCTGAAAATTTCGCCGATCACTTCTTTTGTCGAAAATTTCGCCGATCACTTTTTTCTTTTTTCTTTTTTTGGCTGAAGGTGGCCTGAACCCTAATGACCTGTGATACAATCGTTATGCCATGAAACCGTGTTCACCATTAATGGTGAACACGGTTCCAACGGTGTTAGTACACCTTTATCTTTTTTTCTTTTTTTTTTTCTTAATTAATTGTGTGACTTTTCTTCTTTATTTTCACATTTCGCAGTTTCACTTTAATTTGAGGTGAGCAATGATTTCGGATATTCATAAATTATGAATTCATGCCTGCACATTCACTTTGGAACCATGCCTACACATTCCTGTCCGAAATCATGAACATTCATAAATTATGAATCCATGCCTGCACATTCACTTTGGAACCATGCCTACACATTCACTTTGGAACCATGAATTTTCTGTTATGAGATTATGAATTTTCTGTTATGAGATTATGAATCTACATTACATTCATAATCTCATAACAGAAAATTCATAATTTAATAAATATTTTACTTTTATGCGATTATGAATTTTCTGTTATGAGATTATGAATTTACATTACATTCATAATCTCATAACAAAAAATTCATAATTTGATCAAACGCGCGCTGTTAACTCCACATCCGCGATTTTTTTTTTTTTTTTTTTTTTTGCCTAAAAACGACGTCGTTTGGACTTGTGTTCACCATTCACGGTGAACACGTTTCCATGGCATAATTTGCGCCTGTGATAGCAAGCCATTAATTTGTTTTTGGGCTTCATTGCACTTAAATGAATTATTGATGGGTGTAATTGCACCTTTAAAAAGTTGAGGGACCTAATTGTTGGAGGGCCTATTTGACCATTTTCCCTATTATATATAACTAGTAATTCACCCGCGCGATGCACGGGAAAAAATTATATTATTATAAATATAAATAAAAAATAGAAAAACTAAAATATTTTAAATTATTTAATATAATAATATTTTTGAGCTTACATTGGTCAAGTATTTATTATTTTTATAGAATACAAAATTACAATTAAAATTAAAATTAATATTAAAATTATAACTTTGTATGATTAATATAATCTCTAATTATATGCATATTCAAATAAACTTATAGAGAGAATTTACATAATTACATTGATTTATTTTTAATTGTATTTCATCTATATTATAATTTTCATAATACGAATAATAATTAAGATAATTACATTTGGAAAGCAAATTTTAAATTTTGTATGTTTAAATTTAAACTCTAATTGAACACATTTTTTATATGATTATATAATATATAGCTATTTTATTTTTCAAAAGTATATTTTTTATATGATTATATAATATATAGCTATTTATTTTTACATGTTGTGCTTATTATTATTTTTTGTTTATAATAAAGGATGTTGTGGCATTAATTGTAACATTAATTATTTCTCAAACCATATAGCTTTATTATATAAAGGATAAGACTTATAATTGGAGCGTTATGCCATGGAACTGTGTTCACCATTCATGGTGAACACGGTTCCAACGGTGTTAGTACACCGTTATCTTCTTCTTTTTTTAAAAAAAAAAATTAATTAATTGCGTGACTTTTCTTCTTCATTTTCACATTTTGCGGTTTCACTTTAATTTGAGGTGAACAATGATTTCGGACATTCATAAATTATGAATTCATGCCTGCACATTCACTTTGGAACCATGCCTACACATTCCTGTCCGAAATCACGAATATTCATAAATTATGAATCCATGCCTGCACATTCACTTTGGAACCATGCCTACACATTCACTTTGGAACCATGAGATTATAAATTTTCTGTTATAAGATTATGAATTTTCAATTATGAGATTATGAATTTTCTGTTATGAGATTATGAATTTTCTGTTATGCGATTGTGAATTTTCTGTTATGCGATTATGAATTTTCTGTTATGAGATTATGAATTTTATGAAAATTCATAATCTCATAACAGAAAATTCATAATTTGATCAACGCGCGCCGTTAACTCCACATCCGCAAATTTTTTTATTTTTTATTTTTTTTGCCTAAAAACGACGTCGTTTGGCCTTGTGTTCACCATTCACGGTGAACACGTTTCCAGGGCATAATTTGCCCTTATAATTAGATACACATATATTGAATAATATTACTTATTACATGTACTTAATACATAAACAAAAATAATTGAATTACAATTGTATCAAGTAACAATTTAAATGAATAGTTTAGATATTTTGATTTACAGGAAATTTATCTGTCACTATCCAAAAATACACTCGGATGAAATCTACCTAATAACTCTAATTAACGTAAAATCACAAAAATTACTTTATATGATGTGTTCTATTTTAATTTTTTTTTTTTTAAAAAGTAAACCGATATATTATACATTGAGTTAATATCATTTAGGGGTCCTTGAAATAGTGATTTTGTCATGTTTAGTTTTACACTTTCAAATTCACCATCTATGATCATTCGACTTTTAAATTATTACCATTCATGGTCCAAGTTAATCATCAGTTATCCTTTAACTTTCAAATTTTAACCATCCATGATTTTTCCAGAGAGACTGTGTTAAATTTTGAAATAACAGTTAAACTGTCTATAATAACAATTTAAAAGTTGAATGATTGATCAATTTAAAATTTTAGAACTAAGCGTGACAAAATCATACTCCAATGACCCCAGATGGTATTAACTCATTATACATTTATTTCCATATTTATTTCTGGATACTGCCATACTGTGAGTCTGACCTTCTCAAATTGGCAGCTCAAAGAAAACGGTAGCCAGCTACTTTACACCGACTTTGTAACAAACACTCGCGCTGCTACTCACCGGAAAACTAAACGTTCCGGCGCCGGCGTCGGCTACCGCGATCCGTAAAGCTTGCCTATCTAGCGCACTGTACTGCGAGTCACAGAAATGGTGGGGCCACAGAGACCGCAGTTTGTGCTGTTCGGATCGTCGATAGTTCAGCTCAGCTTCAGCAACGGCGGTTGGGGTGCCATTCTCGCCGATGTCTACGCTCGTAAAGTACGCAACTCCCTCTCCTTCCTTACAGACGCATTTAAATGCATTTGAATTTTGAATTGTTTTAACTTTAAAGCGTTTGCCAGTATGCCTATTGTTGTTCGTATGTAACGATCGTGGAAGATATGCTAAATTCAACCTGGTTTTGATGTCATGATCCATATATTTCACATTTTGTTAATTTTCGGCTTCTTATTGCTTAGCCGCTTAGGTATGTTGTAATTCTGAGATCGTTGCTTTGAGCTTAAAGTTTGATGCTCTCTAGCGCAAAAAAAGAAGAGAGAGTAAATTGAACTTGTGTTTATTGGTTTCTGAATGATGATAATATGATAGCCATTCATCCGGTTTAGCAGTCTTCATTTCTGAAATTAAAAAGTGAAATGAGAAATCAGGCACTTCAAATTTGTTGCGAGACTACTTCTATGGCCCTTCTTCAGGTTAAGTTGTAAGGCTTTCTACTTCTATGGCCCTTCTTCTGGTTGGAAACATGTTTTTATGTTTTTTGAGAGCAGAACTTTTTTCTTTAGTGACGAGGAAACCCTCGTTGGAGTCGAATTTGTAACACCAAGTCAATAGCCTGATCAGCTTAGCTGGGTTGCCCCAGAGCAGGACTTTTTATTACAATGATAGTAGGATATGTTTCTGACTCAATTTTGTATTTACAGTTCATAAGATGGTTGATCAGTCTCTTTGTTATACATTATAATTCCAATAAACTGACTTACCTTGGGTGTCTTAACTTAGTGCAAAAATATCATCTTCTCTACTGATTTCTTGTAGGCGGATATATTATTACGAGGTTATTATGGTTGGAACTCACGACGTGCTGTCCAAGTTCTAGATAAAGTTTTTCCTAAGGTAGTGTCTTGTTGCTAATCGAATCTTGTTTAAGAATCTTGTTATTTACTGGGAAAAGGTGTATGCTAGACTTTTTTGGTTCCATTATATCAGCAGAGTGTTTTTGGTGTTTGTAGGATGCTGCAGTTCAGCCTCAATTGGTGATAGTTTATTTCGGTGGTAATGACTCGATGGGACCACACTCTTCTGGGCTTGGTCCTCATGTACCACTCCCTGAATACATTGAAAACATGAGGAAAGTAGCACTTCATCTTAAGGTAGCTTATCTTTCGAGCAAGAATATGATTTTATTTTATTATAATTCATGGAAATACTTGCACCTTCTCTCTTCTCTTTCACTTGGTAAAGAAATTATGCAAATTAACTGTAATTTTATTACTTTTGTTATGTGAAATCAGAGCCTTTCAGACACAATTCGAATCATCTTTCTCAGTTCCCCCCCTGTCAATGAAGCCAAAGTGAAAGAGAACACAAGGTATGCTTGCCAATCAGTTCATACTCCACCCATGCTCTAAGTCTTTTTTTTTTAAAGCTCCCATGCTCCAAGTCTTAAATTCTTTTTTATAATTAATGGAGTTGTTTTCTAGGTATACTTTCTTGTCAACATTTTTCCCCCAATTGGATTTTTCGAACAGTGATTTGACACCTTTCTTCTTTAACAATTTTCTCTTTCAAACAGTTCATATTTCAGCGAGCTAGTTAGAAACAATGATTTATGCAAACAATATTCAGATGCATGTATAGATCTGTGCAAGGAGCTGGGTGTGATGGTTGTTGATCTTTTCACTTCAATTCAGAAACGTGAAGATTGGGAAAATACTTGTTTTACGTAAGCATTAAGTTCTCCTAGCTCATTTTCTTTGTTTTTTTGTCTATATGAGATGATCTTCTTTTTTTTTTTTTTAATCTAAGGGCAATCAACAAAACCCTGGATACAAATTAGTCCTGCTTAAATTTTCTCTCCTGTTTTAGAAGACATTTTAATATTTTAGTATGCTTTAAAAGATAAATTTTTCTGTGTGCATTTCTTTTTATGACTTTTGTACTAACTTACTTGTTAGACCTTCTGCCATGCATATGGGTCAATCCAATTTCTTTTACAATGTTGCTGAAATTTAAGCAATCTAGTGACAAAGTCATTTCCTTCTTACATTTGCTTTGCCTTCATCTTGATATCAAACATTTGAAAGCCAATCTAGTCTCACAGCATAGTTCCAACCTGCACTGATCCCTTGGGTCTAGATGTTGGATCACACAATGTGAAGTGGGGTTGGCTCGGGATTCTGGCCACACAATTTGCACCTAACTGGTCATGCCTAAATAACCTATTAGTGCTACCATTTTGGTTTTTCAAGTTTACTATGCTTGTGCTACATCTAGAGGTTTTTCAAGTTTAAGCAATCTAGTGACAAAGTCATTTCCTTCTTACATTTGCTTTGCCTTCATCTTGATATCAAACATTTGAAAGCCAATCTAGTCTCACAGCATAGTTCCAACCTGCACTGATCCCTTGGTTCTAGATGTTGGATCACACAATGTGAAGTGGGGTTGGCTCGGGATTCTGGCCACACAATTTGCACCTAACTGGTCATGCCTAAATAACCTATTAGTGCTACCATTTTGGTTTTTCAAGTTTACTATGCTTGTGCTACATCTAGAGGTTATTCCACTTCTGTTAAATCTGACATGTTCTCGGTTTTTCATGAATGATAAACATCATATCTACAATGTAATACTGATACAGAGTAATATTTTGGGGAATGATCAATATCAGCTCCATAATGTTCTTATTAACAAATAAGGGATACCATTCTCTGGGAATGCTAAAATGCAGATCTGTCACTCTACTACCAAAACTTGCAAATCTTCCATTGATTGGTTAAGAAATTTGCCCTGTTTTGCACTAGGCATTATATGAGAAAACTAGTCCGAAATGTTCCTGGAAACACAGCCCAACAGAAAAAGGGGTTTCACCTTTTCAAGAATATACTTTTTTGCAGAGAGCATAATGAAGTTTCTAACACATTGAAACACTCCACTTTTCTCTTTTGGCATACTGTGTCTCTCTTTCTAAAACTTGGCATGTAATATGTACATTCTCTCATACTTTCCCAGGGACGGGGTTCACCTAGCTGAAGAGGGCAGCAAAGTCGTCGTTGAAGAGATTCTCAAGGTTCTGAAAGAAGCCGATTGGACGCCAAGCCTACACTGGAAATCCATGACTACCGAATTCCCAGAAGATTCAGAATATGATCTAGTTGCTTCTGATGGGAAAACCACCATAAATCCCAGTGAATGGACATTCCATCGTGCAATTCAATGGGATTAGACAACTAAACTGAAAAAAAAAAAAGGTTTGAGCCAATGTATCCAACTGTTCATTTCAGAAGTACCATCATTAAGGTAAGTAATATATGACTGCAGAAGTTGGTAAGCATAGATTTACAGACTTGCAGTAGTTCCCAGGGAATTGTTATTGCTGCCAACTATAATTCCCACCTATATAATGATTATTATTTGCTTATTTGTCCTTCCATACATACTTCATTACTATTACTCTCTTTTTTCTTCTTTTTGAAATACTCATGATTCTTTACAAGGTAGTATTTATATACTTTCTCAAACATTTTCAATCCAAAGAATCTAAACCCCCACCATCAGAATTCGAATATATGGCCACCCATTTGAAATGGTAACCAGAATGTTGTCACACTACATGGTAGTTGGCTCATTGCTATTACTCTATTATTTAGTTGTGTCCCAAATTTATGTAAGTTATAGAGTTCAATTCAATTTTGGCCGTGCGTTTTCATTTGTTTTGATATTTTGAGTTCAAAATTGACCAAATTTAGTCTCTATTTGGGATAGTAATGGTTCGGGTAATATCGAGTGTCTTAGTACCTAACCCTCTCAAACTCTATTAAGGGGATTTTGCACATATTTTAAGACAAAGTTGATCTGTTGGAGGAGAGAGGGGAGAGGAGAGAGAGGGTTGGGGTTGTTAGATCCAGGTAATTAACAATTATTATACCGTGGATTATGGTCCACCTTGAGTTATTGACATTAGTTCACTTTTAGTATATAGAAAGTTCATTTTTAATGTCTTATAAATTTATTTTTGAAAGTTTATTTTTATTATACTATTTAAAAAATGAATCTTCAATACATTAAAAATGAATCTACAATATATTAAAAGTGAACATCTTTCAGTGATTTATTTTGCAATATAAATTATGGTCCACAATATAATTTGTCGTAATTAATGATCAAGTTTGGAATGGGTTTAGGTATACAAAATAATATACATCATGGATTTGGGTTGCAGTAAAAACCTTATAGTCAGTACCTGATTTAATAGTATCAATCGAGTTTGAGGAGAAGTATAGATAATATTTAGAGTTTTTTTTTTTTTTTTTTTTTTTTTTTTTTTTTTTGAGAAGAAACGACGAAATTAGATTAACGGGAGTCAAGCTCCAAAGCATGAACAACAAAAGGAAAAGAGACCGAAAAACAATCCACACGATCAGACTTAGATAAGGTCTCCCTAGCTAACAAATGGGTTACCCTATTCGCTGATCGTTTAACAAACAAAAAGCTGAGGTTACAGAACTCTCTAGCTATGTCTCTAATGTCTTGCATAATAAGATCAAAGTAAGTGGTAGTAGAACTACCCTGCATGCTATTAACAACTTTTATGCAATCACTCTCCAGTTGGACAAAGTCCATGTTCTGAGCTTTTAACCACTTCAAGGCTTCACGCACTGCCATTGCCTCTGCTTCGTCTGGTCTGCATAAACTGTGATAGGGGAGTTGGACTGCTGCTTTAAACTCAGCAATTGAATCCCTTAGAACAAAACCAAACCCCATCTTTGAATTGTTAGGACCCAATGCTGCATCAATGTTCATTTTCAACCATCCCGTAGGAGGCTTGGACCAATGTATAGCTAAACCAGGACTATTAACAGAATGTTCATCACCAAAGTTGGCCTGATGCCATTCATTAATGTAAGATTGAGCCCCATTGATAATTACCTGCCGAGAAGTTATCACATGATTCCAGACTTTATCATTTCTTGCCTCCCAGATCTTCCAGCAAATAGATATGAGGAAGCAGATTTGATTATCAGTGAGAACATTAAAGTTTGACTCCAACCATTCCAACAAGGTAGAGCAGCCCTGATAAACAACATTCTCAAGTTGGTCCCAACAATTTTTAGCAAGAGGACAATTGACAAATAAGTGAAAAAGCAGATTCATCATCTAAGGTGCAAAGCTGACAGATTGGTGATACCTGAACCCTTTTTACTCTTAGCGGATCCACAGTAGGCAATGAGGAAGTGCAAAGTTGCCAAAAGAATAACTTGATTCTCGGGGAAGCCTTAATTTCCATGATTTAGTCTAGAAAGGTTTCTGGTCTGCTTGCAATAAGCCCTGCAACTTCCTATAGCAGCTCTTGACTGTAAAGTTCCCTTTCTCATCTTCCAACCAAATTATTTTGTCCTAATGCTTTGTCTCTGCAATTGGAATACTTGAGATAAGTTTCACATCATTAGGGGCAAATAAGGCATTCAACAGATCTAAGTCCCATGCTGATTGAGATGAATTAAAGAGGGAATCCACTGTAATGTGATCAAGGGAATAGGTTATTGGAGGGAGTTTGTATGTAAGGGGAATTGGAGTTAGGCAACCAGGGGTCCTTCCAGACCCTAAAAGGATGAGCCATTACCAACTCTCCAATTGTAGTTCTGTTGGATGATGGGCTGCACTTCCAAGATGCTTCTCCAAATAAAGGAGGGATTACTTCTAATATTTGCCTCAAAGAAAGTAAAAGAAGAAAAATACTTGGCTTTATAAATTCTGGTTAGGAGGGAATTTGGTTTTTGTATCAACCTCCAGGCCTGTTTACCCATTAAAGCTACATTGAAGTCACGAATCCTTCTAAAGTTCAAACCACACCACTGTTTTGGAACACAAAGTGACTCCTATCTCATCCATCTTATGCCTCTACTTCTATTCCCATCACAGCCCCACCAAAAACCATTCATCACTCTTTCAATTTCCTTACCCATTTCCAAAGGAAGGAGAAACACACTCATTGCAAAAGTAGGAATGACTTGAATGACATTCTTGAGTAAAATCTCCCTCCCAGCTTTAGAGAGGAACTTATGAGTCCAACTCTTAATCCTTCCTAACACCTTATCTTTAATAAATCCCAGGATTTCCTTTTTGTTTCTCCCGATCAAAGATGGTAAACCCAGATAATTACCATTCATATTCCCCTCTCTCATGTTTACCACTGCACAAACTTCCCTTTTACTATCTTGGGTAACATTCTTACTGAAGGTAAGGCTGGATTTTTGATAATTAACAAGCTGGCCAGAAGCATGGGCAAAAGTATCAATTATGTCATGGATTGGTTATCCATAATATTTAGAGTTAATATTGACTATAATGGTTTTTCTCAGTTTTGTCCTAAACAACTTTGGTGACCTAATATAGTCCCCAGACTTTTGTATTTTTGTCAATTTAGTCTTTCGTTTGTTATTTCATCCCTTTGGTGTTAAATAGAGGGACAATTCAGTAATTTCAATATTGGTATCTCTTTACTCCTAGATACGCGAAGTGCAAAATCTATTTTTTTTTTTTACGAATTACTTCCATACTTACTCCCAAACCTGCGAATATAAAATTTGATTTGCAGGTCTGGGAGTAATTCGTAAAAGAAAGTGGTATTTCGCAGGGTTGAGAGTAAAGAGATGCCAATATTGAAATTACTGAATTATCTATTTATTTAACACCAATTTTACGGAATAACAAACGGAAGATTAAATTGAGCAAAAACGCAAAAGTCTAGGACTACATTAGGTCACCAAAATCGTTTAAGACAAAATTGAGAAAAATCACTATAATCGAGGACCACTTTAGGTATTAACTCATAATATTTATTTAGGTTTGGGAATGACTAAATGGGCAAGTACTTTACTCAATAGAAAATATTATGTGTACTCCCATTTTTTTCTCTTAACTTCTACTTTCACACACAAAATTTTAATGTAAACACTTATATTGGGACGTACATAAAAAAAAATAATTCACCACGTTAAAAAATAAAATTTAGGAATGCATGTAGTATATCTGTTTCCCAATACCATCCTTAACCCTAGACCTCGACTATTGAAATTTGAAAATATGCCAAATATACTTCTGCAACAAGATAGTAGCTAATGAGCAGCAGCATGGACCCATGTACATAGTAATACGGTAGGTACATAAAAATAATAGGAATAAGGTTCAAATTGGCCACTGAACGTAACCTGAAAATGCAATTAGGTCACTGAACGAACAAAAAGTGTAATTAGGCCACTGAACACTTCAAAAACGGGCAATTAGGCCACTGAACTCTCCAAACGTATGCAATTTCACCGGATAGCAGGTTACCATCAATTTTAGCAGGTTACCTGCTTACGTGGCAGCTGAGTTGACATTTTTAATAATTTTTAAATAATTTTTAATAATTAATTTTAACAATAAATTTTATAAAAAATTGAAAAAAAAAGTAAATAAAAAATAAAATAAAGTGGTTTTTATTTTTTAAAAATTTTTTTAAATAAAAATTTATTATTAAAATTTATTAAAAATGATTTAAAATTTATTAAAAATGCCAACTCAGCTGCCACGTAAGCAGATAACCTGCTAAAATTGAGGATAACCTGCTATCAGGTGAAATTGCACATTTTTGGAGTGTTCAGTGGCCTAATTGCACTTTTTTTTTCGTTCAGTAGCCTAATTGCATTTTCAGGTTACGTTCAGTGGCCAATTTGAACCTTATTCCAAAATAATATTACAGGTACATAAAAATGACACCACCAATATTGAATTTATATACTTACAGTAATAAATTTATACTGAATTTATAGTAGTGTCTTTTATGAACTAAATTTATGAACATAAAGTAATGACTATATGTAGATTTAGTTTTTAAAATTCTTAATTAGAGATTTTAAATGATATATTTTTTATGCTTTAATTTTATTTGTATAAAAAAAGATTATGATAAAATTTTTGGATCAGAATCTATGGTATAACTACTCCTAGGAGTAACACCATGAGTGAGTTTTTTGCTTAGGTTTTTTTGTGTTTTAACAAGGAATTAAAAAGAAAAAAAAAAATTAATTGCGGTGGCGTGCAAGTGCAACCCATGCCAACCCTTTTTTTTCCCTAAACCTAAATTAAAAAAACTCACTCTTGCAGTAGCATTCCTAGCTCCTATCTCTTTTCTCTCTCTTTCACATATGAAAAAATCAAACAAAAAATTCAAAGAAATTCATTGATATTATTGCTCTAACAAGCCTATTAAGATATATTTAGACTCAATGTTAGCACGGCACAACCCAAAAATGAACAGCAATTATACTGTGAACCATGATTCAAAACGACAGATACTATAGTGCATTTAAATTGATACTACCTCACGTATTATTTTTATTATATTATCAAATGAAACTGTAATTGAATTGAAATGAAACTGTATAATAGTTGTGTTGAAATGAAACTGCAAGTGTATACAAAATGAATAACAATTCACATATTTGAGTGTATATTGTCCAGCGAAACTGTAGTTATATCAAAACGATACTATAGTTGTGTTGAATTGAAACTGCAGGTGCATATTTAATGCCTCGACCACAATGCAGTCCACAGTATAATTTGCCAAAAATGAAAATGAAAAGGTTGCTTGGAAGTGTTTTCCATTTGAAGGCAAATTATTGTGTGGACCATGGTCCATATAGTATTGTATGGACCATAAAAGAAATTACAACTCCCGACTTAAGGGACAAAAGTGCACTGCCAGTTATGCCAACCAAGTTGGTTAAGAAATTATATTTTTAATATACTAAAAATACATTATTTGTATACTATATGTACATTATACGAAATAATGTACTTTCAGTATTCAAATAATGTACTTTTCTTGAATACAAATACATTTTGAATATACTCACAATACATTATTTGTATACTGAATGTACATTATCTTATGAAAAAGAATATGTGTACTCCCATTTTCTACTCCCACACACAATCCTGATGTAGACACTTATATTGGGACTCACATGGAAAAAGTAACTGAGAGCTCGCCACATCAGAGACTAAAATTGAGAGAGTAATATTTAGGAGTACATGTAGTACAACTCTTATTTTATAATATACAAAATATGATCCACACAATAATGATTGTCATTTGAAATAGGAAGCAAACTTAGGATTTCCCGTTGTTATATCATGAATCAGGGTTCACCTTGTAAGGTAGACCATGGCCCTAAGTTGTATATTTTAATGATTCGACCGTCGCCGGTTGCCGATTTTATCTTTTAAGTTGACCAGATAAAGTTTAGGATATTTGACTATTTTCTTTGCTGCTCATTTTTTGTAAAATAAACTAAACACATCAAGATAGTTTTATGTAATGTAACCAAACACTAAAAATAAAAATATTTACTGGAAAATATTTTATTTTCCATACGTCATTTTCCTGGTTTCCAAACACACTCTTAGTTTTTAAAATATAACGATTTTAGTACCTCTGATTTTAAATTTTAAATCCATCAATTTGGTGATTTTTTTTTTAAATACTGTGATTTAAATATTAATTTTATGTCAAATGAAAAACATAGTAAAAACGTAATTCCATAATCTAAATTGGTCAATAGTTTGGTGTGTACAGTGAATGTTATCAAACAAGTTTTTTAAACAGAAAATAGAGAATAAAAAATAAAGAATGAAACCTAAAGATGATTTATAGAAATTGGTTAATGAAATTATATTTGTTTATCCCGAACATCAACTTCATAAAAAATTTATTATAAGATTAAAGACTAAAAGTAACAAAACTACAAATTTGCATTCACTCAAATTTTGACACATCTAGTTACTAGTTTCATGTAGCTTCATTTACCTTGTCTGTTTTTTTTTTGGTTTTCATTTCTTTTATCAAAATATAAAAACTCATCGAAAAATTAAGAGTGAAGAAACCCAAAATAATAATAATAATAATAATAATAATAATAATAATAATAATAATAATAATACATTTACTTTTGAATCTCTTTAATTTAAAAAGTAATTCAAAAAAAAAAATAGAGAATGAAAAACATGAAAAATAATAATAAATAAATAAATAAAAGTAAACGCAACCTAATTATTTGGGAGAAGGAATATAATAAGAACAATTGTACATACATTAACGAACACCAATAATACAAGATAGCTATAAACAGAGTTATACAAGAATCTCCGAATCCACCAATTATACATGCACTGATGCACATGTCTGAATGGGAGAGACTACAGAACCTCTTTTGTCAATGCCATACTCATTCAGACAAAATCATGCTATACAAAAATTCTTTCTCAGAAGTAACTTATTACCACAACAATAACATCTTCTTCTTCATCCTACGTTGTCAATCCAGAACTTGGGATTCCATGCTTTTCAAACCATTCCGGCATATGGAACCTTTGGTTGAGCGCTGGCCGGACGTCCTCCTGCTGAGAGAGATGCTTGAGGAGCGGGAGTATCACGTCCATTAGCTGATAGAACGGACGCGTGAGAAAAAAAAAATTAAAAAAAAAAAAACATTATTAGACACGAGCAAACAACATGGGAAAAAGTGAGAGAGAGGATTGAGGAAGGGTGCGAGTTTGTGTTTGTGAACTAGACCTGCTCATCGTGTGGCTGTCCAGCAGAGAATGGAATGCAGGGAATCCCGTTTAATGGTTGCAATAAGAAACTGAAGGGATTGTTGTCAACAATAACAATTCGGGATAAATCATTTGATATTCCAGACAAATCCTTCACGTGTTCTCGATATTCCCTGTGATATAATATAGCACACCCCATAGGCCATAAGTGTAAGGTGAAAGCCGGTTTTTAACAAGAAATTTTCCATGCATAGAATCTCAATAATATCACAGAATAGGGTTACAAGGTGTAGTTTACCCAGTTCACACCCTCGAGTAGTGGCTACGGGTTTCCCTCGTCATCCAATAATAATAATAATAATAATAATAATACCACAGAATTGAGCATCATAGAATGGGCTTCAGGAATACAGGACCATGGTAATATTTACATGCATAATTTCAAAAAACAAACAAAATTCATGATGATTGCCACAGAAGACTATGGAGTACGGCCTTTTAAAAATGCAAATGCAAAAACGACATGAAAATTTGAAAGTAGATGCCCCGTGGAAATGAAGTTGAGGTCAAGTATAGCTTAAAGAGCCTCACAGCAAAGCAGGAGACTAGATATTAGGCATTTAAGTTATTCTTGTGTTGTATTTTCTCATTTCTCATTCCTATTATGTTAGTTTATGTGCTAACAGAGTAAGATAAAACCTGAAGTAAATTTATAAAATGCGAGCCTCCAGATAACCAAAAGGGTGCAAGACAAGAGGTGGCTGCAGATACTGGTTGAAATTAAAGAACTGATAAATCAAAACCTAGAGAATACAGTGTGGCGAAAGAGCAGTGATACTTACGTGCTAGTGGTTGAAGGCCTGTAAAGTCTGCGAATAAACCGATTTTCAACATCTATCTTGTCGACAAGGGGCCTCGCATAGCCTACAGGGAGACGATAACCAAACATCAATAAAGGGCACAGTTCAGGGGAAAGAAAATAAAACCATGAAGTGATGAACAAACCTTCGAGTCCAGCAGTAAATAACACAAGGTCAGCAAATGTGCCAAGTTGTTTCAGAAATTCATGGAGTCCAGGACGTTCAAACACCGTGACGTAGTTGATCTTAGGTTTGCCATCGCATTCCTTGAGAACCACAAAAACAAATTTTAAAAAATAAAAAAGAAAAAAAATCATTTCAGAAATTTGCCCCGTAATCATTAAAGTAATTGTAGAATGTAGATATTGAGTTCTCACCTTGTCCGAAGATACACACTCGAGTTCAAACCAGTTCAACCCGGCCTCAGTAGCCTCAGTAGTTATTATAGAAGGCAAAGTTGATGTCTCATATGCACAAACCAAAGTTTCATCCAAGTCAAGGACCACCTGCCAGCACTAGACAAGTTGAGACAAAACTATAGTGGAAAGTAAGCAATTAAAGAAAATCTTTTATCAAAGTGGCAAACATATTTACTGTTGGAGCATCATTATGCTATGCAATCTATAGTACTGAAATTAACTCCTATTTAGTAATAAATTTTAAATTAGTTGCACACAGTTAGTACACTATCTACACATCAGTTTAGCGCATCTTGCACAAAACTCCAATTTACATGCAATGAAAATATGCCAAAATGCCTTTTTTATGCAAGCTTCCAATTTGGTAGAATATTCAATGTATCCCTAAATCGAATTTAAAAATGCTAAACTGGAGGTGAAGCAAATGGGCAATCCAGCAGGAAGTAATACCACTTTAAAAATCCAAACTTCATGCTCAAAAAAACACTTGATAGTAATCAATATCCATTATCTTTAATCTAACAGCAGCAACAATGTCCCCGAGCACAGTAATTCACCAAACCTATCATTATCAATCTTTCATCTAAAATGACATTACACTACAAACTGAAAAGCAGTTGCTGGCAAATACTCCTATTCATTTCCCATAAGATTGTCAAATTGCCAACTTTCTCTATGTACCCTTCCTCTCTTCTAAAAGGTTCAAAAAATTACTGACTTTTCCTATGAAGAAATTGAGGTTTCAGAGAATAAAAATGGCAGGCAACTCTAGAGGAACAAAGAATGTCAGAAAACGCAACTCAATTAGAAACAAAGTAAAAAAATTAGTAAGCTTCAGATGTATGGAAGATCAAAACTTTAAACTTCCATCTTCATGACCTCAAAATTAGTAGCTTGGCACAGCATTTATAATTTATTAGCATTTAATTCCTGCCTTGCATCCATAATAGAAAAATTACAGCATTTTTTAATACAGATGTTAAATTACAGAACACTCCTAAATTTCTAATAATCCTATCATACAAACATTAACTGTTAACTTCATCTATTATCTGCCCAATTGAAACTAAACTTCTAAGCTGCAAGAGTCTGAGCAAACTAGCAAAGTAAGGCAACACTCAATTTGCCCCAATTTCTTCTTATGCAAAATCTCATCTCAAATTCATTTTCATCTATAGGAACCAATAAAATGCAACTTCAAATGCAAACCAATCCAAAGTGCTGATGAACTGAATTTTAGGTTTTTCTCTTTTATCCAGATGAATAAGAGCCAATCAATTGCGTTTAAAGCTACTGATCACACAGACAAAGAGACAGAGCAGATATCAATCAATTGGTCAATGGAATACAAAAAGAAAGGATAAAAAAACAGCTATTTGCGGCAGTGGACCCTACCGTGAGCCTCGGCAGAGGATGCTCGCCGTCGCAACCGGCGACTCTTCCCTTGGCGATTGGCAGAGGCTGAACGGCCACGGAGGGCGGCGGAGGCAGAGGCGGCGCCTCCTCAGGCTCCGGGAACTCGGAGAGCTCAACCGTCCGCAGCGGCTTGAACTCCGGAGGCGGAGAGGAGAGAAAGGAGCTGTTGCGGAAGCCGAGGTAGGAGAGGACCTGAGTGAGCGACGGCGTGCCTCTGACGATCTGAACGAGGATCTGGAAGAAGAAACACAGCCAGTTCAACAGCGCACCCCACAGGTGTGGACTCCTCGGCGCGTAAACGTCGGCAGCCTGAGCCATGTCCGCCATGAGTCGCCGGAATCTGGCTTAGAACTAAGAAGTGAGTGAGCGTGGAGTGGCTTCGGGCTTCGCCGTGGACGTGTACACCGGCGTGAGAGAAATGAATAAATTATGTGCAGCTCTAAAAATCAATAATAAACCACAACTAATGTAAGACAACTACGGACTAATCGTATTTATATTTATCCCATAATAAAAATAATACACAAAAACTTGTATAAAACCGTCTCACATAAAATGAATCGTGAACATTTATCACACCTTAGTACGACAAATATTAGCATTAATGGAGGACCCTAACCATATTGGTAATATATGAGTGTTTGGTAAATAGTTAATAGTTGATTGAGTTAGTGGATTTGATTAGTTGACATTAGCTGATTATAGAAAGATGTTTGGTAAATTAGCTGTTAGCTAATAGCTGATTACATGTAAAATTATGACTTTATCAAAAAACGGATTGAAAAAGTTATTTTGATCAACTTTTTGAATTTTAGTAATTTTGGAGCAATAAGCTATTACAAAAAGTTAATTAATAAAACACTTGGTTGTTTAATAAAGTGAAATAATTAATAGTGATCAAATAAGTCAAAATTGACAGATAAGCTAACTATGTTACCAAATAGGGCCATAATTGGCTCCATAATCACAAAATTTCAAATTTGATTCTCGATGAAACCTCATTGTGGTCCATTACTGGTTGAAATCACAAGGTAGATTTTACACATTGTACACCCTGGATAGTGGCTGTCAGTTTTTATAATATATATATATATATATATATATATATATATATATATATATATATATATATATATTGTTCAAATGCAGCTGCGCCCTCCCGTGCGGTCGTTTGAAGAATACATCAATAGTGTAGGAAAATACACAATAATAAAATGTAAAAATACACAAAAAATTACACAATACACCCAAAAAAAAAAACCATATAACTCTAGGGATGGCAATGGGTCAAGGATGAGTCGGAGAGGGCTACCTCCATCACCCGACCCACTTTATATTTTCTCCATCCACCCTCACTCCCACCCCCACCCCCAACCCGTATCGAGTGGATTTTTTCAAAGTTGGTCGAAAATATGATTTGGTAACTATAAAATTTTAAATTTAATTTCCCGTTGAAGTTATATACATACTATTATTATTTTTTTTTTTTTTGTTTGAGTGGATTATAAAAACTTCACCTATAGAGCATCTTCTAATCAAATATAATTGAAATCTTGTTGTGCATCTATAACTATCATCATGGTGAATACATAATCATAATATTTACGTGCTCTTACAATTGATTCAATTTATTATTTTTTTATCCTACTAATTATCTCAAGATGATAAATAAATTTAAACTTTGACTATCCCGATAATCTAACATTAAAAATGTAGAATCTCAATTTAGTACACTACATTCTTTGAATACAACATTAAATAAGTAGTCCGTATAATATAAATGGGAAAACTTTTATATAAGTATTCCGGGTTCTGGGCTGTTGGATGATGCAAAATCAAGGGTGTCCACATGTTATCAGGTTTATACAATAAGGTAGATTCTCACCCGAACATAAACCTATATATAGTCAAATCAAATAAGAACCACTCTTTCGGTGAGAACTTGAGAACCACCATATGCAACTCGTAATGTTGTGCAACTGCTACTACGTGACTGTATAACTTGTAATGAGTGATTGTGCACATGAAAACTGACTATAGAAACTATAGAAACACACAGTAGAATTTTTTTATTATTATTAAAAAAGTGGTGGTAGTTTCGTACATAGAACTTGATCGCGTTTGCACACATTTAATTCGCATTCGCACACACTTAATCTAATCTAGACTATTAAAAAATATTAGATGGATACACACGATTTGTTCTCACGTTCTCACCTAAGCAAGTATTCTCATATGATTCTATATATATATATATATATATATATATATATATATATATATATATATAAGGGGGAAAAAAACCACTAGCCTTAACCGGTAGAGGGTGGACAAGATCCACAATTCCACACTCATCACACTAAGCATGTTCTTAAGACAAAAAGCGACAAAAGAGAAAAGACTAAGGCCTAAGGGGCTGTTTGGTTGGGTGTTTAAAAATCATAATTTATTTTTATTCTTAAAAATGCCAATCACATATAAACATTTTTCTAAAACTTACTCGATTATACCAATTATTAAAATTTTAATTTTGATTCGGATTATAACTTTTCAGTATCCAACCGAACGCCCCCTTGGTGGCATTAGAATCTGCCAATTCGAAGTGACAAATCTTCTATATTTGGAGGCTCTTTTGTTACTGTTATTCTATTAATAGGCTTAGAGCCGTCATTCTGACTCATCCTTAGAGATAAGCATAAAACTTCAGTCTCCAACGCATCCACGCAAGTCATAGGAAAACAATGACGAAGATAGAATCCTACTACTTTTTCAAAAGTTCTTATAAGAAAAATGGAAATGTGAATCATGTGATAAGGTTGTGCGTTTATATTGTGTTTTCTATTTAAATTATTTTATCAAATTAATTATGTTTCATATTTTGTTATGAATATTTTTATAAAGTTTTGATATGTTTTATTTTTTGTCCATATTTAACAATATTTACAATTATATTTCTTAGGTAATTTATTTATTTTTTAAAAATTATCTCTTTAGTTTTAATGTTTCGCCTTTACTGAAATTTTTTTTTGAAATCATCCCTACTTCTTCGCTCCCCTCAATAGAATTTCTGGCTCCGTTCTGACTCCTGAACATAACTTTTATGGAGGAGAGAGATGAGAGTAAAGAGTTGAGGTGCTCTTGTAAGGTTGTTTCTTTGTGGGCCCGTCAATAGAGAGAAAAAAGAGAAGAGAGGCTCTACATGCGTGATTGGCTTGCACAGACCGCACCCAACTGCGTGTGCAATGCAGTCAGGAGTTTTTTTTTTTTTTATTTTTGGGCGTCATACATGCATTTTTTTTTTTTTTTTTTTTTTTTTTTTTTCATTCTTCTCTTTCCCTCACCCCTCTCCTAATTGGCACCTCAAAAAAAATCATTTCTATTGGAGATGCTCTTAATGACTTTGTGGTTGAGTGATATAATGTTTAGTAAATTTAAGGCGAAAAAAGTTATAATATTTGTCTCTAATCATATAAAGGACAGAAAAGAACATTTGATAATGATATTATTGAATCATGTGATAACAATGTGTGTTTGGTCGAACTAATGCTTTTGTGATTGAGCGATATAAAGTTTAGCAATTTTAAAGTTAAAATTATAGTATTGGTCTCTAACATAAAAAGTGCAGAAAAGAACATTTGATACTAGTATTATTGAATCATGTGATAACGTTGTGTGTTTGGTTGGGTTGATGATTTTGAGGTCAAGAAATCTAAATTTAGTAATTTTAAGATAAAAAGTTATAGTATTCATTTCTAATATGTAAAAGAACATGTGTTAAAAGTATTATTAGTATAATTAAACTAATGATAACATACAATTTTGGTAATATTAAAAAGTTTCTTATTTGAATCGATAACGTATCCGTTATAATTTAGATGGTTTATATCTCTTTATATTCAAATCATTTTATGAAGTATTTTTAATTTGTTCACTTCTTTCAAGTATGTTAATTTGAGTTGAATAAATTTCAAGTCACTCTTATAAAGAGCAAAAAAATGGTTATTTCTTGCTAACACTTTTTTAGTCAAACTCGTCACATAAGATTTTTATAATGCGATTTATCATTTATGTATGATTTACGTGTATTACACAAGAGTATGATTAACTCAGTGGACACCCTCAAATAATGGCTACGTGTTTTTCTCATCGTCAAAAAAAGAGAAGGGATTATGAATGAGTCAATAACATCTTACTACTACAGAAATACATTACAGCGTCACCATTTTAACGTCGGTTTTTAGAAAATCCGACGTTAAACATTTAAAATTATTTTTTATTTTTTTAAAAATACATATGACGTCGGTTATAACAAATAACCGACGTCATTTATTATCGAAATTTAAAAAAAAAAATTAAAATAGTTACGACGTCGGCCGATGAAATTGGTCGACGTCGTAAAATATTTAAATAAAAAAATTGAAATTAAAATACCATACGACGTCGGCTAATTAATTAGCCGACGTCGTATGATATTTAAATTAAAAAAATTCAATATTAAAATACCATACGGCGTCGGCTAATTAATTAGCCGATGCCGTATCCTGAATATATATATATATATATATATATATGTATATATATATATATATATATATATATATATATATATATATATATATGGTATACGACGTCGGCTAAGTATATAGCCGACATCGTATATTTATTAATACAGTAGGAACCCTAATTAGAAGCTACCGAATGCAATTCAAACAAAAAAAAAAAAAACTTCATCTTCATCGCCACACCTCCACGCCACCGCCGTATTATCGTCAGCCGCCGCCCGTCACGTCACCGCTGTGTCTTCGAACGGCAGCAGTTACTGTCGACGCCGCCGCCACTGCTCTTCGCCACTCTCCGCCACTGCTCTCCGACGTCGCTCGTGTCTCGCCGCTGAAAGGTATGTAATATATATATATATATATATATATATATATATATATATATATATATATATATTAAAATCGTTTTTTTATATATTTTTAATTAGTTTTTATATATTTTGAATTTTATAAATTATTATTGTGTATATTTCGAAATTTTAGAAATAATTGTGTATATATTTTTAATTTGATAAGTTATTGGGTAAATTATGAATTCTTGTGTGTATATGTGGAATTTTATGAAATATTGTTTATATATTTTAATTTTTTAGAAATTGTTATCTATAAATGAGATGGAGGGAGTAGTAGTTTAGTTATTTAGGTGAAGAAAGATTGAGCTAAAGGCCAAGCACCTTGTGCTCAGATGGCACCCGGGTTAGTCTCCCATATGAGAGGTTGTGAGTTTGAGCCTCAGTGGAGGCGTTGAGAAAGTAGATATGAACAGAGTCACTGAGAAAGTATAAAAAATCGTCGGCTATATGTAGCTATGTAAATAGTCGACATCATAAGTTTATTTTTTAATTTTAAGAAAATATACGATGTCGGTTGTTTAACCGACGTCGTATCATTTATGTACTACGTCTCTA